TATTTCAAGAATATAAATACATAGAAATGGTGCATCTTAACATTTGTTTGTGTTTAAATGTCTTGTCTTTTAATTCAGTTTTAGCACGTAGCAACATACATTGTTTAAGGGTAAGCCACAACATCTAGACATCATTTATAGAAACAAGAATGGTACCAATGTAGAGGAGCAAAGCTGCTGTTCTGGGTTTCCTCCTCTGCTGCAGCGACTCACTGACAACATAGGAGGGAGTGCTCTGTAACAAAGCTGTCCTTACTTGGGAGATTGTCACAGCCTGCTGCTTAGCTGAATTATCAGACATCCTCTACTTAAGCAGCAGCAAACATTGAATCTCAGGGATGGTCCACAGCTGGATCCAAATGTAACGAGCCCTGTTTGAGTAATGGGGGGGGGGGCAACATCCACATTTGGCGTCCAATTTGCAAAAGTTTCTTGCACTGTTGTTTGACACTGCCCTGTTGATGCCCTTACTCTTATGTTACTGTTTTCTCTGTCTGCTGTCTAACCCTGTGCCTTGCCTGGGATAACAACAATGATAAAGTTACTGGTTTCGGTTATAAGTAGAGGTTTTTATAAATTGGTTAGCGTTTCACTGCTGCTTTGTTACTTTCTGGAGTCAGATTGGCCACTTATTAAGAAATAAAAAGCTGGTATAATTGTGTCCTAGGATGATTGTTGACTGTGTGTGTAAACAGACATTCCAGTGCCACCTATAGCACAGCGTGCCCAAGAAATCCTAACCGCATGGAAAGTGCAAGCTGCAGAGGTTTGTGTAGACATGGCCTGGAGAATAGTTGTTTTTGGTTTGGCATCTTGCACTTTAGGAGAAAGACCGTCCTGTCTGCATGTGGTGTGACCAATGAATGATGTGTGCTTAGAGCACTATCCACAATTGCTAGTGTTAGCAACCGTCCTGGGCCATGGCACACTGTAGGCCTTTGGAAGCTTTGGCTCTAGGCTCACCAAGCCCAGTCTTCTGTTTGCCTCTTTGTTTCCATGTGAACTTCCAGATAATACCACTCACTAAAAAGTTTATTTTTTTGTTTTTTAATTTAAAGAAAAACTATTTAAAAATAAGGACATTTTGTTGACAGTGGTGGCTTGATAATCCTTAAGCAACTGAAGTTGAAATGGAAGGAAAAGGCACTTAAAATGGTTACTCCTACTGTCCAGCTGTATATAAACTCAATGTGTTGGTTAATCTAGATGGTGCAAAGAAGAATGTCCTGGTAGACAAGCAACATGGGCAAAATTGGAAGGTTTTGGGTTTCTCCAGTGGGCTGGGTAGGGTGGGCTGGGGAAGCTGGACTCACAAGTCACGACTGGAACTGGCCTTTTTATCCTTCCACTGTTATCATGTAAGTAGCTGCTTTCTCGCCTGCCTATCCTTCAGGCTCCCCAAAGCTCACTCTGAAGATGTTAGAAATAAATACAAACTCTACAAGTTAGAAGTCGATTCTGACACTGACATGAAGGCAAGCATTGATTTCATATGACTGTTGCGGAGGTGGTAATTGGAGAAAACAGTTCCCCAGATTGTAAGAGTTCACTGAAGATATCGACACAATTTTAAAAATCAGTAAAGGAATGTATATAATATTGCTCTTGTGTTTTACAGTAAGATTTGTTGCTCTCAGACTGTGTAAAACAAAATTTATTCATGTTTTCTGCATATTAAAAATCTTATTGTACCAATTGGTAAACTATTAAATGCCTATAAAACTAGATGTGCTGGGGTTATTTGGTGGGTATTGGGGGTGGGGTTTTGTGCACAGATCTTGGTAGGAAGTGAGGCTTTTATTTTTATTTTTGCACCAGGCACAGAAAGAACAAGACTTTAGTTGACCATACGCCCTTTGTGAACTTTGCTGGCACTGTCTTTGTTGTCTACTCCTTATCTGGAGGGAGCAGCACATGGTAGGGGTCTTGTGCCCCACTCTTCCTCTCCAGCTGTGAGTTCCTGTTAGAAACTCAGTCCCATAGGTGGGGCCCTTGTCCATTTTGTTTCTGTTTAAGTGAGCCTTTTATCTAGCATCTCTTCCCTTAGAGCTATAAATATCCTGAGTTTATGAAATGTATCAAATACATCTTCACTCTAATCACTGTTCTAGATGTCCTATCTCATCCTAATACTGAATATCCTTAGTTTTCTCCAGCCTTCTATGCAAAGTAGTACAGGTGTTAACTTGGTACCTCCCTGTTGGAAGGAACCTTCCCAGCCAAAGAGAAGCTCGGCAAGAATGTCTGTACTTGGCTGGCTTTCCTGCTTATGCAGACCCCTTCCCCCACTTCTAACCTTCTGGTTAGAGTTCTGACTTTAGTATCATATGCTATGGTGGTGACTTTAAAAGCACACATTGTCCTCCCTCCTGAAGGCAGGGAAAATAGCTCTGCATCCATGATGCCGCATCCTTCTTGGTTAATCTGGTGAAAACTGTTATGTGCAGACATGAGTTACTGCATATCATCCTCTGGGAATTCGTTAGGGAAGTTCTAGAGGCCCACCTAAGACCTACTAAGAGCCAGTACAGACCATTGTTTTGAACACGTCCTCCAGATTAGCCTAATGAGGTTTAGGTCTGAAAACTTGAGTCATCTTTTTACCAAAACTTGAAATGTCTCTCAAGCCAGGCTGCCCCAGCTTGGTTGAGTTTAGACCCCACCACACCCCACACCCCTAAAAAACACAGCACCTTTTTGCTCCCTTCTCTTGTGCTAGGCAGGGATTGTATCAGGGAGCCACATCACTGGTTTCTGCCTTTCTACATCAGTGATTTGTGCCTTTTTATTTCCATGAGGCCACGTAGTCCTCTCAATGAACATAAGCCATGGAATGAAAATAGCTGATTATTTAAGTTTCTTTTTTGGTTTTTTTTTGGGGGGGGGTTAGAGACAAGGTTTCTCTGTGTAGCTTTGGAGCCTATCCTGGCGCTCGATCTGGAGACCAGGCTGGCCTCGAACTCAGAGGTCTGCCTGCCTCTGCCTCCGAGTGCTGGGATTAAAGGCATGCGCCACCAACACCTGGCTCTTTTTTGGTTTTTTAAGACAGGATTTCTCTAGATTTACAGTCTGTCCTGAACTCACTATAGACCTGGCTGGCCTTGACCTCACAGAGATCCACCTGCCTCTCCTCTGCCTCCTGAGTGTTGGGATTAAAGGTGTGTGCTACCAGCCTTCAATTTCTAAAATTAGTTTGTGTGCACTTGTGCTGCAGTAAAGGTCAGAGATCATTTGAGAATGGGTTCTTCCACCAATGTAGAGTCAGATTTTTGCCAATAAGTGCTTTTCTACTGAACCATCTCACTGGCAAAAGTTTTTTTTTTTTTTTTTTTTTTTTTTTTTTTTTAAGACAGGGTTTCACTATAGAAGCCGCGGGAACTCTACCTCCCAAGTGCTGGGACTAAAGGGGTGCCCCGCCAATATGGCAAGCTACTTGATTCCTCTATGTCCAGAAGCCAGTAAAACATCATTGGGGGGGAGGGGGCAGAATTTGAAATGGTGTATGCCTGCCTCAGGCTATCCTGAAATTCCAGTGAGAGTTGTGCCTCACTCAGCATACACCACTACACTCAACTTTCTAATGCTCTCAGTGGAGTACCTCACTGCTTTTGTCAGATCCAGGTGCGGAGCTGCTCTGGGCCACTTCACTACTTTATTCTCTGCTATAGGATATAATAAGAATTTCTAAGGTAGTCTTGTAGCAACAGCCCCTTGTTATTTAAGTTGTCTAATCGGCCAGTGAGGCGGCTAAGTGGGTATAAAAGTGTTTGCTGTACACTTTTGCTTCCTGACCCAAATTTCATCCCAGTACCCACTGTGGAGGGGGATAACCAGCTCATCCTCTGAGTTCACATATACACTGCCTCACAGATTTCACTTGTCTACACATAATTTTTTAAAGATTCGAAGTTCGGCATGGTTGCACACGCTTATAATCCCAGCACTCAGGAGGCAGAGGTAGATCTCTGGATTTCAAGGCCTGCTTGATCTACAGAGCTCTGGGACCATCTCAAACAAAAAACCCATTTGAGCCACTTCTCCACCCCCACAACTTTAAAAAAAAAAAAAAAAAAAAAAACTGGGAATTGAACTCAGGACCTCTGGGCCAGCAGCCACTGCTATCAACCTCTGAGCCTTCTCTCTAGCCCCCGTGTTTAAAACACTAATTATGCTTAATGAAACAACCAAGAAAATTGGCCTTCAGCATGACTAGTTCTTGCTAGCTGATTAAATTACATCCACAGCAGTCTAAACTTGGTGTGATGTCCCTTTCCAGAAGTGATGTGTGCTCAACAAGAGGCAGAGTAAACATGTTCAGAACACGTTAGGGGTAGGAAGATCAGACCAGAGGTCACAGTCACCCTCAGTTTAAAAAGGATTTATTTCAAGGTCAGCCTAGGCTATACGACACCTTGCCTCAAATGATCAAATCAGCGGTGGGTACACTTAATGGATGTTCTTAGCATCAAGATTAGGGATACCTTTCACTGCCTTAAAAGGACCACAAAAATTTTTCAGAAAGCCCAAGACATTGAGGACTTACAAAATTTTGAAATTCCTGAGCATCAAGGAAAACATGTTCAGGCATGCATGAGGCCCAAGACCTAGCTTCTGTGAAGCAGCCACCAGCCATTGGGACTTCAGGTCTATTAGCTGGTTACCTCTTCCCTCTACTTCACTAGCCCTGCATACACTGGCTGAACGCTGTTCTGCTTCCAAACTGAGTGTTGCCCTGGCTGCAAGGGAACAGAATGAGGCAGAAGCCTAGCGCCAGTTAGATGGTCAGAGGACTAGGAACCCTAACCCTCCAGTGCCTCCACATGTCCTTCACTGAAGCCTAGGTCCCAGCTGAACAGCTGGAGTTCCACACCTTCCACTTCAGGTACTTCAACAACTTTGAATTTGACCCAATATATACATAATTATCTCCCAGTAGCTTTTCTGACAGCCTTACTCAGACATAGAAGCCTGGCTAACAGAACACACAGGTGAGGCTGGGGCAGCAGGTTTCAAAAACTCACTTTATTCCAATGTGAAATGAAGACGTGATGGTTTAAAAACAAGAAAACGTTCTTGATAACTGTGGGGATGCCTTGCTGGCTTACGCCCATTCCCTTTGAAACAAGGTCCCTGGACAGATACTATCCATCAGCAGCTCCAGCAAAACCCCAAGCAGGGGCTCTGCCTAGAACAGCTCCCCCAGGCTCAAAGGGTGGCCATCTCCTTCAGGGACAGCAGACAAAGAGAAGCAACGCAGGCAGGGAGAGATAGCAGTCAGGTAGTAGGAGCCCTGTCACCCCAGAGCCTCTTTGTAGAAGTGCTTATATATGGCAAAGACCAAGTAAGGAGCCTGGCTCCACAGAGGTGACCATCACTCCTGTGCATGGCACTTTCCCTGGAATCCATGATCAGCCCTGGGTCCCTGCCCCTGTAACTACCCCCCACTGTGCATTAGGCAGCTCAGGTTAAAATGGGGAGAAAGATACATTCAGACTGTTGGCCCCCTAGGTTTTGCCCACCTGGGGTATAGGAGCAGGAAGGCAAGTCAAAGCCTATGGCAGTGCTGCCTCCCGCTTGGCCAAGGCCAGGCACATAGATGTATGGGGGGGGTCCACCACTGCAGGCCGCATCCCCTCACCCTGAGGCTACAGGTAGGCCAGGTCCAATCACAGTAAAGCCACTGCAGGTCTTACCTTGCACCCTACCAGGGATCCGGCTCCCCCCTCCCAGGACACAGAAAAGCCCCCATCTTTTTTTACTTCAACCTGGACTTTAAGCCAGGCTGGACCTGGGGGTAGTGGCAACAAAAGCAGCAGCTGTAATGTCAAACATACAAATGACCTGAGAAATCGCATCTGCACGTCATCCTCTCACAACTGACTGGGCTGGGCTATGTACATCTGGAAGGACGGAGCAAGACACCCACAGGCATGGACAAACACACCTGCTTGAGGACGGGAGGCGGGGGGCATTTGCCCCTAGCTGGAGTTGATGCCTACACACTTCATTCTCTTCTCTTCAATTAGGCCTCTGCATTGAATATTCATTGAACCAGTGCAAACTATCTTTTGGGGGCAGGCAGGCCAGGCTGGGGCCCCAGTCAAATACTGGGGGTGGGGCAAGGGTGGAAAGTGGAGGACTAGCTTCGTCTCCCAATCTGCAGGGCATGCCCCCTTCTCCTGGAGTCTGTCTGCATCACTGGGTAATGGGGCTGCTGACTGTCCATGTTTCTCTCCTTTTTTTATCCCTGTACGCTTAGAGAAGGATCCTCCTTGGCAGTCTGAGGGGAGCCCATGTCCTCTTGCTGGGCTCTTGCTGGCTCAGGATCAGTGGCCACATCATCAGCCTTATCCCTGTTTCTGCTGGCCTCCTGGAGCTGGTGTCGCCGTGCCACCTCTGCCTTCAGGTTTTCCAAATCTTTTTGGCTGAGCATTAGGAGGCAAAAGTGGAATCAGAGTAGCCTGGGACCTCTGCCACCCTGCAGCTTCTATCACATCCCAGTGACACATGGAACTTCACTGAGCCCTTTGCTTCACTAGTGGGAGATGTGTGGATGCTCCTCTCCAGGATCTGGGTGTTCCCTACACTTTACAAAGTATTTATGAGGGTATGCCACCCCCTGCCCCTAAGTTCAATTTGCCCTTAACCTCTGGCTTCTATAGCAAACCACATACAGTGCTGGCTCGACCAACACCATCTCCCACATCCAGGAAGGAGGTACTCTCAAAGCAGTTTAAGAGCTGCAGAGGAGTTTTCAAATGGCTGGCTGACAGGACACAGCCCTGTACTGGAAAAGCAGGTAGCTAGAATGGAGTCACTTTGTATGTATTGGAAGTGAAAGATAGCAAGATAATGGAAAAGAAAGTGCCAGGTACAGTGAGAGCCTGGATCTCAGTACTTGGGAAACAGAACAGAAGCTCAAGGTCATTCTCAGCTACATAGCAAGTTTGAGAGAAACCTGGGCTATCTGAGATGCTATCTAAATAAAACAAATTTGAGCAAGCTACACTACTAAAAAATTAAAAAAAACCAGGTGGTCATACACAATTCAACTGTGGCTAGCCTGGGCTAGCACTATAAAGGCTAGCTGTCTCACAACAGCAAAATAAATACAAAATACAAAATACTATAGCTATATTTCCTGGATTACAAAGTGTCTGGGAGGAATCACAAAAACTGCTGAGCATACACTTTTAACGTCTGAGCTCTCTGCCAATGTAACTTCAACAGAACCTAAACTGGGCAGTGGTGGCACAAGCACAGCACTCAGGAGGCAGAGGCAGTTTGAAGACATTTTGGTCTAGAAAGCAAGTTTCAAGACAGCAAGGTATATCTTGAAACAGAGAAACCATGTCTTGAGAAAACAAAACAAAAATAATAAAAAAAAAAAAAAAAAAAAAAAAAAAAAAAAAAAAAAAAAAAAGGCCTGCCAGATAGTGGGGAATGGTGGAGGGCTCACCTGAGAGGAATGAAGAGAATGCCATTGATGACATTGAGCTGCTCCAGGACACTGGCCATTCTAGGAGCTGTGAACTGAGAGTGGTGGGGAAGGCCAGAGGTTAGAGGCGCCTGGCAGGAGGCCAGGGAACTGGACCCACTCATCCCAGGTTCATACCTTAAGGGGTGGGATGTTAGCACTGGAGCCATTGCGGTAGATCTCATTCATGGTGCGCTGCAAGGCTACAGCCTGCTGGGTCAGGCACTTGAGGTACTCAGAGCTCTCCCTGGTCTTCTCATGGTCCTCACCTAGCTATATCGATGGAGGGCAAAAGCAAAGGGGGATCAGGACTGCACTGACACAGGCGCAACCTTCACAGCCCCTGCTGAAGCCCACCTGCGTCTTGTAGATGGTATAACCTTCCTTCTCATGCTGAAGGGCTGACCGGAATTCAGCTTTGCTTTCGTAGACCCGGGCAACAAGGTGGTGGCTGCAAAGAGCAGAATATATGGGGCAAAGGAGGGACAAGATGTGGAGCCCACCTGGGGACTGGTCCCGCCCCCTAGCTCCAGAGGAACCACTCAAGGCCAGGGCACAGGGCATAGGTAGAACTTCAGAGAACCTTTCTCAAAGGTACAAGACAAAACTAGATCCCTTTCCCATGCCACCAAGAGTTTACTGGGGGTCTCAGCTAGTACTGCCTTACCTGAGAGCCACCTTAAGGGCCTTGGGCCCATGGTACTTGGTGGTGACAGCCAATGCATTCTCTAGGAAACGCAGGGATAGGTCATACTCCATTACGCCATGCAGCACCAGCCCGATGTTGTTCTGGGGGATAAGAAAGGAGTCAGTTCCTCCTCCACCTCCCCCGAACATAGGCTAGTGTCCACCTAAGGACACCTTTCACCCACATCCCCTCTCCAACACTCACATCCAACAATGCCATCTCAGGGTGGTCCTCCCCAAATACAAGCAGCATGAGGTAGCGGGCACGATACAGCAGGCTCAGGGCTGTAGACAGCTGGCTACTGGCAAAGCAGTACAGGGCCAGGTGCATCTGTGGTTGGGCTCATGGTGGTCAGAGTGGGCCCAGGCATCCCCCCCCCCCCCACACACACCAATTTCAAGGTGGCTACTCACATACTCCTGGATGGTGTTGGGATGCTCGATGCCCATCACCCGCTCACTCATCAGCACTGCCTTCTGTTGGTTGCTGAGTGCCTGGACATACAGGGCATCAGTCTCAGGTGAACACTGCCCCTCATCTGAGGGGGCCCACACAATGTGCCCTACCCTGCAGTCTCTACCACTTGCAGGCACACAGGCAGCAGGAGGTACAACCAGCCGCTGTGACTGTGGAGGCTTCTGAAACCCTGAGACCATCTGAAACTCTATGTTGTTTGTCTTCTTCCCTAAAAATCTATGCAAATACAAAAGGTCCAAAACTACACTTCAAGTACGTTCATTTCTGAAAAGTTTTCTTAGGATAGCCTGATTGAGAAAGGAGGCCTAGTGTACGCTGACCATCCAAAAGGCCTCTCAAAGCCAATGAAACAGCTGCAATATATTCACAGAACATTGAAGAAAACAAAAAAACCATCTGCTGCTTTTCTCGTGGTCATTTCCAAGGCCAGGTATTGTGCCACCACAGCTTACTCACAGGCTCTCAAAATCTACCCTTGCCACTGTCCCTGAGTGTCCAAAACCAAGTCACATCTACTTCAGCAGAACAGAGAGGAAACTACTGAGTCCTCCCAAGGACAGGAGTGAGGGGTGGGTTTGCTCACAGAACGAGACCTTTGGGGCTCTCTGGATGCCACTTACTCCCACCCAAAAGCCCAAGGAAGAGCATTCTCCCTGTTCCAACAGGGGGTGATGATGGAGCCCCCAACCAATACTATGGCCAGAGGTGCCACAGCCTACACACCTCAGCATAGTCACCCATGATGTAGTGGAGGCGGGCCAGGAGACGCAGGCAGGCGCAGATCTCCACATGCATGGCTCCATACACGTTATTGAACAGGTTCAGGGCCTCATTGATGAGCTCACAGCCTTCCTTCAGGAAGCCTACGAGGCAGCCCGGGTGGCAAGGTCAGGGATGGGCAAAAGACACACCCATTTCCCCCAGCCCACAGTGCCACGCACCCTGCTGTACTTTGGCCTGCCCACTCTGGAAGAAGTGGAAGGCATCTGAGGCCTTGGGGTTGACATGCTTCACCACAGGAAAGATGTTGAGCACGTCCTCCTCAGTGAAGGCAGGCTTGTGGCGGCTGTCAAAGCTGTACTCCTTCAGCAGAATCTGGGGACAGGGTTCAACACCCAAAGCCTCAGCCTTGGACACAGAAGGACAGCACCCCCAGACTACTAGCATGTCTGACCAGAGAGTACTCTCCCAAGAAAGCTCCCTTCCCCCTGCCTTGTGGCTCAGGCTGGAAACGAGGGCCCACCTGGATCCCGGTTTTCAGGGAGATCTCTCGAAGCAGTGTTATCTTCTGCAGCCCGTAGGTCTCCACAGCCTGGTCCACAGAATCACTAGGGGTAGGAGCGGGGGCTGAGCAGCCCTGCCCCCCCCTGCCACTCTGGACAGCTGCTGAATTCCAGAATCACTAAGCACTCCTCTTCACTGCTCAGCACTAACCCTCGCAGCCCTGCTTCCCCATTCCAGTCCCCACAACTATACCTGTTGGCCTGTTGTCCTCTCTCCACAGCCCTGTGACCACAGGCCCTAGATGCTGCCTGAACTCCAACCCCCAACCCCCTACACTTGTGGTAACCCTTATCCCCTGCGCCCGCACCACCCAAGGGTGAAGTCAAAGTAGTTCTTGGCCTCCTGGCAGATGTTCTTCCAGAGCTCCTGGGGGGTCATCACAGCCCAGGCAGTGTTGTCTGCAGCTCCGGGAGGCCGGCTTTTGCTCCTCTTGTTCCTTTTCTTGGAGAGCAGCTCATCAGCGGGCAGGTGGGACACAGGGTTGGGGTAGGAGCTCAGGAAACAGTTCAGGAAGTGGCTGATGGCAGCTGAGAGGCCTGAGAGCTCCACTCCCTGAGCCAAGTTTTGACTGAAGTCAGGATGGCCCTAAGCCCCCACCCAGGGCTCTTCTCCAGGCCCCATGCCACCCAGGGAGGTCCCACCAACTTGGGGAAGAGTGGCAGCACCTGTAGATACGTCTTGAAGATATGCTTGGCAGAGCGTGTGATGAGTTCTCCAATACCGATTTTCTGAGGGGTCAAAGAAGGAAGTCTTGGGCAGGTTCCAGGCCTGCAGCTGCAGCAGTCGTCTCCCAGCCTAACCCTAACCCACTCACATAAATGTGGTCCAGCTGGTCACGGGCCGGACTCCGTAGCACCAGATCCAGCACCTTGCCCAGGTAGCGCATGTTGATACCACGTTGGCGCATCACCTCAGCCAGCGTGGCCCCATCCATGGGCAACACAGCATGCTCTGTGCAATCCTTTACCTGTGGGACTGGCATCAGGTCACGACCAACCCTAGCCCTCTGTCCTTCCCCACCTCTTGGTTTTCCCTATTGCCCTACTGGAAGGAGAGAACTAAGGCCCTGGCTTCCATGAGGAAGAGAGAGGAGACAAGGTGTGAAACATGCACAGGAACCTGCCCGTCTTCTCCACAAGCAAGGGGAACAGAAAGATGGACCCCACCATCAGGAAGCAGCTTGGCCCCTTGGGCCCACAGGTGGCACAGGGTCATCTGGTCATGTGGGAAGGAGCTTTACTCCAGTCACCCTGAGACTTACCATGAGACAAACATGCCACCTAATCAAGGGCCATGATATACAGCTAGGAGGAAGCAAGCCTATCATTCAGAGGCCTAGGCAGAAAGCTAGTGGGATCAAGAGGACAGGAAATCCCAGGCCTCTCTGGGGCTGAGGACTAGAATCCCAGCCTCAGCAGGGCAGAACCTATGCCTGATGCCTCTGACCTCTTGGGCCCTGCCAGTCTGCCTGGCTAGAAAGAGCTAATGCAAAAGCTATATGAAGGGTCTATGCGGTAAGACACCAAGGAGCATGAGGCACCAAGTCTGCAACAGCCCATCCGGCAGCCCCCACTCTTCAGCCCCTCCCTCACCAAACCAGGGATCTGGCAGAAGAGCAAGAAGGCTGCTGCATCTTTCAACAGTTGCTTCTGGTCCTGAACTTCATCCTGGCAGGACTCAGGAAAAGGAACCCCTGGGAAGAGACAAAAGGGAACGATGATCTGTCCTTGCCTGCAGGGTTCATTTACTGATTACCCTGAACCCCACACACTTGCCTGGGGAAAAGATGTCAGGGTTGAAGCGAATGTCAAAGGCCGTGCTGCTGATGGAGCCAACAGCCTTGCAGGCATTTCGAATCACCTCTCGGCTTCGAGGGTCTACTGTGGAAATGTGTGAGGATAGGAACTAGAGCTGTGCTACTGTGAGCCTCTGGCCCCACAGCCCTCTCAGAGGACATGAGCCACCCATGGCTAAGCTGCCAGGACCAGCTCGGGCTGTCCCACACAAGCACAGCATCCCCACCTGTGCCATCGTCTGAGGCGATCGTCTCTGCCAGCTCCTTCACCTTGGCGAGGCCACTCACACTACTGCCCTCCTCCTCACTTCCTGCCTCAGGTCCTACTGAGTCTTCAGAGTCAGCCTCTGCTGAGGAGGGAGGACCACCATTCTCCAGGGAGGAGGGGGTCTCCTTGTTGGCCTTCTGCTGCATCAACTGTAAAGCAGCCAGCTTCATGAAGAGAAGGTACCTAGAGCAGAGTAGAGCAGACACGAGGTAGCAGGGCATTGTATAGACAGTTCAGTGGTTAAGAACACTTGCTGCAGCCAGGCGTTGGTGGCGCACGCCTTTAATCCCAGCACTCCGGAGGCAGAGGCAGGCGGATCTCTGTGAGTTCGAGACCAGCCTGGTCTACAAGAGCTAGTTCCAGGACAGCCTCCAAAGCCACAGAGAAACCCTGTCTCGAAACCCCCCCCCCCCCACAAAAAAGAAAAGAACACTTGCTGCTCTTACAGAGGACTCAGGTTCAATTCCCAGTACTGACATGTTGGCTCACAACCATCCATAACTCTAGTTTCAGAGAATCCAATGCCCTCCTGACCACCCTTGTCACTTCTACAGGATATAGGCACACATGTGGTACACATACATACATATAGGCAAAACATTCATACACACAACTATAGCAAATAACTCTACAATTGGAGAAGAAAAAAAGGCAGGCCCAAGTTCCAGACCTTTGGGGGCAAGAAAATGCTAACACTAGGAACCCTGTAAGCATGAGGACACTCTCTCCAGTATATACACGTGACAGTGCATGTGTGCCTGTGCCAAGCTGGCAATGCCGCCAGACAGCAGGTCAGAGCAAAACCAAAGTGTGCTATACATCTGTAATCTCAGCTAGCCCTAGGAAGGCTGAGATGGGAGGATTGTGAGTTCAGGCCAGCTTCTGCTCCATAGCAAGACCCTGCCTCAAAAACAAAATAAACAAACCCCCACCAAATTCTCCTCAGCGAGAGGACAGCTGGGGTATATGGGGGAGGGGAAGAGACTGCATACTAGGCCTCACAACAGTAAGCGGAACAGGAAAGCCAGTGGCATTTGGAAAGAGTTCATCATGGTGTGAGACACAGCAGATGGTGTGTTCACTGCCAGCTGCACCAACACTTTTAAGTCCCACTTTCCCAGCCCTACACTTGAGATCTTCCTCTTCTTTTATTTTGGGGGAGTTTTTTGTTTTTTGAGACAGGGTTTCTCTGTATAATGGTCCTGACACTCAAAGCCAGGCTGGTTTTGAACTCAGAGATCCATGTGCCTTTGCCTCCTAAGTGCTGGGACACAGCTTCTCTGTGCAGTTCTGGCTTTGAGCCCAGGGACCCACCAGCCTCTGCCCCCCTCTCAAGTGCTAGGATTAAAGCGGTACACCACCACACCCAGGTTTGTGTGTTTATATCAGTGTGCATATGTGCACATGAAAGCCACAGGAGGACTTTAGGTTCTGTAGTATTATTCTCTACCCTATTCCCTTGAGACAGGACCTCTACCCAACAGCTAACAAGTTCCTCTGACTATCCTATGTTTGTACCCTCTCTCCACAGT